TGCACTTGTGACAGAACAATAAATATTTTATTTTGATTATATAAGTAAGTACAAAACAAACTTGTGGTAGACCTAAACTTATTATTCAGAATAATTACATCTGAGACTTAAGATTATAACATTATAACAGTGATGGCAATATTAATTGTTTGTTGTTCAGCAGAACAGTGTCCAGTATGTTGGCTGTTATACTTTGTTGTGTTTGAAAATAAAAGTTGGGCTGATTTTAACATCATTACAAAAAGTGTTGTTAATTATTTTTAATCATATTCAGGTTACCACAAATTGTTTTTTCATTTAGTTGAACTTGAAATGTTTGTCAGTAAGTAAACAATTAGTATTAGTACAGTCAGAAATATCAAGTTATTCTTAATACTGCAGACTTGCAATGTATAAGTTGTCCTAACATTCATCTTAAGTAAGCTTTACTTAGTTTTTTTGAGGCAACGAGTTTCCTTAATTTTTTTTGAGTTCTGGGAACTAACAAGGCTGTACAGTGTACTCAAAATGAGTAAGTTGCCCTAACTTGGTCATCTTAAGTAAACTTGATCCAATTTTCTCGAGTTCTGGGAACAAATGAGCTTGTACAGTGTACTCAAAATAAATAAGTTGTCCTAATTTAGTCATTTTTAGCTAAGCTTTACTCAATTTTTTTGAGGCAACGAGTTTCCTCAATTTTTTGGAGTTCTGGGAACTAATTAGATTTTACAGTGCACCTTACAAAATTTGCAACCTTACGATTCATTTACATCTCCCTAAATGAAAGGTAAGTATAAAATGGGCTGTTCTTCTATAGTGTTCTCTGCTCAAAGTCTGAACATGAATACAAGTCCAATCTTCACAATCATTCAAGTACTCTTTCAGGTGCTCCACTGTGTTGATTAGCCAGTCTGACACTTTCTTGGTTAGCAGTAAATTTAATGAGATTCTTTAGTAAAACTTACACTTTGAGAGCAGTGAGAGTGAACTGTTGTGGGCTGAATAGCTAAATAATAACTCATTACAACGCTCAGCAAAAGTGATCGGATCAGTATCCTCACACTGTTTCTGTGTATTCATTGGATAAATGATTCTTTCATAAATTGTTGGTTGTATCTGTTTATTTTACGCTGTAAAAACTGTTTCACGTCTGTTAAACTCTGAGTAGAAAATTTGCTTAGAAAGCCAAATAAATGCTGATGTCAGCGGGTTTCAGCACTACAATAACAAGGCCTAACCATAATTGGAAAAACAAAGTGCCAAGCAGTTAAGTAGATTAGAGTTTGATCACATTTTGTCTGCCTGAGCACTGGCCACAATCACGAGAAGACTGGGGGTGCAGGGGGGGCACAATTAGCTCAAAAGATTAAAAGAGCAGTGAAGACACACTTCTTGAGGGCATCTTTAGCCATATGGTGGCTACTCTCTTCATCCTTAGCCAACACACTGTTGACCTTTGTAAGATTTACCATTTAATTAGTCTTCTGATGTCAGTGATCTGCTGCTTTTCCGCGTGGATTCCCCCAATTACACACTGATTAGTTATGTTGAGACGGACTCTGTAAATGTTAACAGCATCCACATCTGCCTGCCTTCATGCACAATAATGAAATGCCTGGAAACCTAAGTTTGAATTTTATGTCTGCTCTCTTCTTTCTATCCTGATCTTTTTGGTAAATTGGGGAAATGCTATGATGAATCAGTTACTGTGTTCCTTCCTCTTCAGCGAATTCTTAATTATTTAATGGTGTATTTAATTAATTCATTATGGCAGTCCTGGCGTTCCATATTAGAAGGATGTACACATTGTATGTACAATAATGCACTAAGCAGCATATATATTTTCTTGCACTTGAATATATCAATACATTTGAATTAGGATGTTTTTATCAGACATTTTAGGCTGGTCAGTTTATTGGTCCTGTTTCAAATAAACCAATATTCACTATGTTATAAAATGGGCATATCTTTTGACTTTATAGCTAAATTAACCCTGTAACCAAAGTTTGCTCTAATTTGACTGGCCAAAAACATCCAGTACCAAAAATCTTCTCCCTGCATGCATATTCTACATATTCATATACATTTTAGGCAGGTGTGAAAAAATGCTGTAAACAAAGAATGCTTTCAGAAATATAAATGATTGTTTATTGGCCCTAGATGTATTCTGCAGCAGGACAATGACCCCAAACATACAGCCAATGTCATTAACAACTATCTTTAGCGTAAAGAAGAACAAGAAGTACTGGAAGTGAGCCCTGATCTCAACATCATCGTGTCTGTCCGGGATTACATGAAGAGACAGAAGGATGTGAGGAAGCCTACATCCACAGAAGATCTGTGATTGGTTCTTGTTTGAAACAATCTACCAGTGGAGTTCCTTCAAAAACTGTGTGCAAGTGTACCTAAGAACTGATGCTGTTTTGAAGGCAAAGGGTGGACACACCAAATATTGATTTGATTAAGACTTTGCTTTTGTTCATTCACTGCATTTTGTTGATTGATGAAAATAAGTGATTAACACTTCCATTTTTGAAAGCATTCTTTGTTTACAGCATTTTTCTCACCTGCCTAAAACGTTTGCACAGTACTGTATGTGTATTTATAGGCAATATAATATCCATCGCTTATTACCATTTCATTGGAAAATTTTAGGAAGTTAAAAAGCTTGAAAAGCAGCAATTTCACCAGTAGGTGCTCAAATGACTGCCTCATATGTGACTTGCTTCAGATTCATAAATAATGCAGCTTTAATCTACACAGAACGTGCTGGTGGTTCCTTTAAATAGCTTATGAGCTTGGAAGTATGTAAGTGGCTGCATTATTGCTTTATTATTTATTGAAACTCCGGTATAGAAGGTTGGGATTGGTATAATTACCAAAATGGATTAAGAACGCTGGAGTTAAAAATTTTGTGATATTTGGGTTTATAAAATGGCTGTGGTACTTTTTTGTTGCAGATCTTATCAAGCACTACTTCACCTTCATTTCACAACCAGTAATTAGCCTTTACTTTGCCTATCGGTATTGTTACTTGGCTGACTGTAATCACTGCGCACGGCATATGAAAAAAAAACAAACAGATTTACTATATGTCGCACAAGCCACTTGGATTTTTACTTGAGTCTACATAATACTTCTGTTGTAGAAATTTGTAATTACAGTTCTCTGCTATTTTATTCAGGATTTTGTGGAAGAGATGAGAACATGTTTACATCGGGTAAGGTCATCCAGTAAAAATTATAATTGTTTGTCATAACTGCTCCTACATCTACCCTCCAGGTAAGAAAACAATCAGCTCAAAGCAGGCAGATTGTCATGCTCTTAGTAGGCCTCAGCATGCCTAACTTGGTTTAGTCCAAAGGTCAATTGTAGGAATATTTGCTGCCATTCTCTACTTTTCCACTTATTTCAAGATCATTCTGAAAACTACGAGACATGGTTCAAACCCATGTTTGAAAAGCACATAAGCATACAAATGCAAAACTACAAGCACTATTACAGTTTTTCTCCATTGGTTTGGCTCATTTCTTGAAACAGAAATTACATTCTCAAAACTCTAAGATCATTTGGCAAAACACTCTTACAGTTTAGCACAACACTATAGCTCACCTGCAAAAGCTCATATCTCTTCCAAAACTGTTCACTCAGGCTTCAATCTAAATCCCTTTCTCATTTAAACAGTCAGTGTCTCCAAAATGGCAAAGATCCTTCTCAATAGTTTTGGCTCATTTCTCGACACAGATCGGACATTCTCATCATTCTTGGTGCTTTTGTCAAAATAAACCTGGATGGTTGATCACAACAACATGGTCCACCTGCAAAAGCTCATATCTCTCCTAAAACAGTTCACTCATGTGTCAAAACTACATTTCTTTCTAATCTGAATAGTCAGTGCCCCCAAAATGCATCGTCCCTTTGGCATTGTGTGAGTACTGCCATACAAAATGTTTAGATGTTTTGTCACTATGGCAGAGGACCAACAATATACAACAGAAAAGAGTAGCCTCCAAGGTTTGACATCACAGATTGCACTCTCACTACCAAGGAAATTATAACCATTTTTTATTCACAGGCAAAGAAAGTTTCATACATATGTAAAAAGAAAATGTACATTACAGTAGCAAATTGTATGAACACAAAATCAAAAAACAAGGACTTATTCAGTGGTCGCTGTACTCATTCTCCCGCTCTTGTCCACTGTCTTCACCCTCCTGATTATTTACACGCTGTTGTCCGTCTGGCCACAGATTCTCGTCCACATCACAGCGGATACTTTCTCTTGCGATGCAACGAGGAAAAAAAACGGCGTGCATGCCGCAACCATCCCCTGCATTGATCTCCTGTAATGTCGTCACACGCTGTGGCCATAGCATGGAGCAGATACGGCTGATCCTGAGCATGATGCTCATACACTCTCCACCTCCAAGCAGAGAAAAACTCCTCTGTCGGATTGAGGAAAGAAGAGTAAAGTGGTAGGAACCCCATGACCATCATGGGATGCGTTGCAAACCAGCCCCTATGGTGGAAATTGACATTGTCCCACACAATTACATAAATGGGTAGGTGAGGCCCTATGAGACCTCTCTCATTTTCAGGGATAAAATTGGTATATAGGCGATCCAAGAAGATGAGGAGCTTGTGTGTGTTGTATGGGCCAAGACTGGGGATGTGAGTGGCCACACCATTCTCAGAAATGGCAGCACACATAGTTATATTGCCCCCTCGCTGACCTGGGACATCCACTGTGGCCCAGTGGCCAATAATATTACGGCCACGTTTTCGGCCCTTGGCCAGGTTGAAGCCAGCTTCATCCACGAACACCAGGATGTAAGGGGTCTCATGTCCTTCCAATGACATTATTCTCTAAAATAGAGTAAAGAACATAAAATCAGTCATACAGAAGAGTCATATACTACAGTTAGACAATTACATGCTCTCCCCCACAGGTTCAATATACTACAGGCTACTACTCCAGTGGTTCTAAACTAGTGATAGGCCTATGAGGAAGTACTGCAGGGGTATTTGATAGAAAGGGGAGTGGGAAATACTGATGACTTACTGAGATGTTACAGTAAAACCTACAGTATTAGATAGATTTGATTGGGGGACAACAAAATAAGGATTGTAATGAGAATTGTATCATACAGTAAACTGCAGTTTTCTGTTGAAATTGTTGAAGTCAGATGAAGCAAATACTGATTCTGAAATCAGGTAAAGGAGGTATTGAAACCAAATAAGTGAACTACTGCTTACTGTGATTACAGGTACAGTATGTACCTGTAATGTAACTGACCAGTATGTAACTGACTTACATTTACATACTGGTAGCGCAGCTCCTTCACTCTGTCAGAGTTCCTCTCAAATGGTACCCTGTAGATTTGTTTCATTGTCATCTGATGCTTCTTCAAAACCCAGTCTATTGTGGAGATGCTTATTGTGTTTATGTTCTGGAATATATGATTGTCCTGAAGGATGGCATCACGAATATGCCTCAATGTGATGGCATCATTTGCCATCACCATGTTACAAATCTCTCTTTCCTGTTGTTCAATGAGAAGTTTTCCTCTGCCACCCACGCGAGGTTGTCGTCCAATCCTACACAAAGAACAGAATACAGTAAGTTATCAGTGTAATTGTATTATTGTTTTACTCACAGTAACTTCACCACAATCCTAATGCAACATTGCACAGTGACTGGAATACTACTCTAAACTGTATAAATTATGTAATTCCATAGTTTACAGTAATTTGTTCAATATATTTCTTGTCATATTTAGTATCAAAACATTCCACTAGTCCTCTCCACCTGCTAGTATAGACCTACTACTGTAGGCAGATGCACACAAAATCTCTACAGTAAGGTATACATTTTTTGCCTCACGCATAGTGCCCTGTCCTATACAACATATAATTCCATCATAGATTAAATAGAGTACATACCTGTTTTCCCTGAGAAAGGTTTGGATGATGGAGGACACTGTAGAGCGAGGCACATTAGGCTGCACTCGACGACCTGCCTCTGCCATTGTGAGGCCATGGTTTATGACATGGTCTATAATTGTGGCCCGAATTTCATTCAGGACAGCACAGTGTCTTCGCGCACCTCAGCCTCTTCCCCCTATTCCTCCACCACGCATTCTCAGTCCTCCTCCTCCTCGAGGAAGCGCTTCCCCTTGTCAGTTTGCTTGGCCTTGTCTATCCATGTTCAGAGATCGGACTGGCTCTGGTCAAGCTCTATATATCTGTGTTTGGCAGCACACAATCATGGAAAACACCTGTGTGTGACACTCCCCCTTCGTTAGTCTAGTTTCACCTGACTGTCAATGACTGTCATCAATTTATCAAATATTCATGGTATTATGTTCTTGACCAATTTTGACAATTGAACAAACAGTTGTGCATGCGAGTACTTATACAATGAAATCATGCTGACATTTTTTGGAGGGAATGATAATTAGACTGAGAATCAACTAATCAGTTTAGATCTACGAGATCTATTCATTTGGAAAATGTGCTAAATGTGGGCTAACTGTATAACTGTAGGCTACCTGTACTTAATCATTTGCAAAGATGCACTGAGACAATTGAGACATGTACTAAGGCATTTGCCATTTGATAAAATGAATGAGAAATGCCATTCTGTTGTGAACATTTACCAAGAGGTTTGGAGGTTTGTCCATGTTATTTTGAGAATGTAATTTCTGTTTCAAGAAATGAGCCAAACCAATCAAGAAAAACTGTAACTGCTGAAAAACAAATCACGTGTTCCTTTGTCAGCATTTTATCACCAAATTAAACTACTAATAGGGTTTACCCATTTATTAATTTAGAAACAATCAAAGTGAAATAATCTTTTTTTTTAAAAAAGGGAAGAATAAAACATGAAAGGAATTAACAGGCATTTTAAAGTCATCCACTGCTTTTGTTCTCTTTATCAAAAACATCCGCTTTGTATAAAAGCGATCCCTGCTGTGGGAGAGCGACGGTGTGGAGCTGCAGATCAGATCTATTTAGAAGACAGCATCAAGTTGAGTGGCTGAAGCCTGCTAGTCAGGCCAAATACAGCAGTATAGCTGTTTACATAATAGTAATAAGCTACAGTACACAGTGACACCATCAAGTTTTAGGAGGAGACTTGCTTACATGAGCAGGCCATAGATTATGCCAAGACAAATCGATTAGCATGGGAGCAGTCTAATATTAGGATTCAACGTATGATTAGAGAAGCCGTGTTATGTAATGACAATAATGAGTCTCTGTTATACTTCAATGCACAGACGAACATCCACTGGCCTCAAACTGACAAAACGTCCTTTATCTGTCCCGCAAAATGTCTCTTTTGTTTTTGAGATAGATAGATAGATAGATAGATAGATAGATAGATAGATAGATAGATAGATAGATAGATAGATAGATAGATAGATAGATAGATAGATAGATAGATAGATAGATAGATAGATAGATAGATAGATAGATAGATGATAGATAGATGATACGTGATATAGATAGGATATCAAGCAGAAGAAGTATTCATTTGAATAAAAACTGCTTAATTAATTCATGCTTACCTGTGTTTCAGTATATGCATGTATAAATACACACAGAGACTGTGTGTATTTACTGTGTTTTTGTTTCTTTGGTTCCCAATTCCTTCTTTAACATCAAGAGTTGGGCAAACTTAACACACTGGTACATATTGTGACGTCATCATGTTACCCTGCAACATGAAATTTGAGCACTACTGTAACTATTACACTTTATAAAAGCATTGCATCAGTTCACAGACAACAGCATTAAAATACAAACAAACGGTTGCATTTGCATGTACGTGTCATACAATATTTATTATATGGCATAAACAGACAGTGTTCATTGGTTCTGTTGTGAGTCCATCTTTGAGAACGAGTCCGTTATTACATCTGTTGTTCGCACATTACAATAGACTCTGGATTACATCACTACACTGACACTCAGTAACCTGCCTGGCCTCAGCAGGTCACACAAATGAAAGACGCACACACACGTGTACATACACACACACACAGAAGTGTTACCATGGATCACTAAAGGGAATTCAAGGAGGAGGGTAGATTGGCCGTGTGTGCGAGGGGGTTGGGTGTTAAATCTGATCTGGCCAGTGCTGACGATGGCAGTGTGGCTGCGCCCTTACATCGGCCAGCTCAGTGTGTGTGTGTGTGTGTGTGTGTGTGTGTGTGTGTGTGTGTGTGTGTGTTATATAACAGCATGATAAAGCTGCCTTTGGGATCTGACTGTGGCTGCTGAGCCTCTTACCTGTGTGTCATATGGAAAGCTCTGGCAGCAATCTTTATCTTCCACATCAATCATCTCAGTGGATCCTGAATTGACCACATTAAGCCTGTCACTGTTACTGTGTTTCTCTCTCTCTCGCTTCACTCTCAGTGTGTGTGCGTGTGTGTGTGTGTCTCAGGGGTGCCACCAGGAATTTGGGTTCCCATGAAAAAAAAAAAAAAGACTTTGGGCCACTCCACTTTAATATTGCAAACCGTGATAAAATAATACAACACTGTTATATGGATAATATTCTGCTTCGATACAGAGATTTTTTTAATTTGGGGAAAGTTGTATTGTTGAAACCATGTTTTACATTTCAATATTCTGAATGATGACATCATTAGGGGTTCTTTTGGTTTTTTTGCTTTGTTTTTTTGTTTTGTTTTTTTGTTTTTTCATTTTTTCATTGATTGGTACCTAACAATTAATATACATCAGCTTTACGGCTGAAACTAAATCTAAATTCTCTATAAAGTGGTGTAATACTAATATTTTTTACTCCTTACATATTTTCTAATAATATTAAATATTGGCAAATAGAACTTAAATAATCCTTTCAATATTAATTTTGAAACAAATTATAGCCAGCTGAACTGTGTCTCTGTCCTGAGGCCTGGTGGAACTCAAGTAGGTTTTAATCAGTTATAGTTTACTAAAAGGTCTCATCACCTGCAACAGTCAAAATATACAAAGAACATACTTCTCCAAAGGTGTTGTATATGTGGGTTATAATTATAATATATTATTAGTATTATTACAAATAAAATAGTGTGTAGAAAAAGATAACTTTCCCAAGGGGCCTCCTGAAATAAGACATTTCTTTGACATCAAAGAACTTGCCTGCTTCTTCAGATATCAGTGTGGCTGGTTCAGTGTCAGGAGTGTGGGCATGGGGTGATGGGACTGGGACAGCTAAGCCTGAGCAAGAAGTTTGCTCTGTTTGGCCTGGCAGCTGATACGTGATTTAGTATCCATATATACACAAACGGTCCGCCTCTGTATTGTTTAAAGCAGGGGTCTCAAACTTGCAGCCCAGGGACAACTTGCAGCCCAAGTCACCCTTACTTGTATGTTGACGTGAAGAAATATAATGCAATTTGGCCCTTGAAGTTACTTTTTTGTTAGGGAGGATTTGTTTGTTGTTGAGTGCAATGTTAAAATAAGTTCTTTAAATATGTGTACACTTATGTCTGCATTTTTATTTGGTTAAATATGAACAAAACTATAGCAGAGGTGCTGCCACGTGTCTGGCCGGAAAGAGAGGACTGGTTTGTTTAATTGGTGGTTACATGAAGGGCTTCAGTTAGTTAAGAGTGATGGGGAAAAATTGCTTTGACTTTTGTAGTTTTATCTTGTTATACAATATTTGAAATGTAAAAAAACCCCAAACAGCAACACTAAATTTTCGGAAGTATTTGTGGGTGTTTTCTTGTTTCTTTGTTTCATATTATTTGAACACTAAAGTGGCCCTCCAATGAGATGACAGTGCCAGGAGTGGCCCACAGCTTATTTAAGTTTCAGACCCCTGGTCCAAAGTGATACAAACACATTACTGGTGGGATCATATTCGATTATTCACTGTCATCATTTATAACGTCCAATAAATTAAAATTTGGCTTGTTTGGTTAGCACTGTTGTCTCACAGCAAGAAGGTCCTGGGTTTGATGTCACCATCTAGCTGGAGCCTGTCCTTTCCAGATACTCAGGCTTCCTTCCACAGTCCCAGGACTTTGCAGTTAGTGGGGTTAGCTTAATTGGTGATTTTAAATTCACCCTAGGTGTGAGTGTGAATAGTTGTCTGTGTCTCTGTGTTAGCCCTGCAACACACTGGCAACCTGTCCAGGGTGTAACCTGCCTCTTGCCCGATGGTAACAATTTTCAGACTTAGCAGTAAAAATAGTAACAATTTTTGTAACAAAATTGTTGCTATTAAAATGATTGCCTCCCATTAAATTCGTCCCTCCCAATTCAAATGTGGTGGCTGCTATAGGACAAACATGTCCTATAAAAATTTTCTTCATACTACATTTTAAAAATCGTATTAAATAATAGCAACGCTTAGCAGTAAATCAGAATAAAAATGAATATGGTCAATCTTATATTTTTGTGGTACTCAGATAGAAAATTGACTGCGGACCAGATCCCCAGAGTTTCTCCTTAGTACTTGGCAAGACTTTATTCATTCTGGAAGAGGCTGTTAAGCTTTTTTAAAGGAGTCCGATATGAGTCAACGAAGCTCACTTCTGTCCGATCGCAGTGATACTGAGATGAGTTGTTAAAATTTCGTTAGCTACTGTTAGCTGCTGTCAGTAGGGATGGCAATCAAAATCCTGGTCTTGTAGCAACATAAAGTATCAGGAACACCACCTAAAGCCCAGTTCTGACTAGGGTACTTTTTCCCTCTTACTTCTTTTTTTCCCCTCTCCATGTAAATGAATGTTTATATGAGAGGTGTCTTTCCTCACACTAACAGAGAAAAGAACAAGCATCAATAAGATGAAATAGGTTATATTCAAATGAAGACCACAACAGTCTTTAAAACCCTGCAAGCAGGAACAACCAAATCTGATACTACGAGTCATGGTGCCAGTTATTTATCACACACCTGTTGAGCAAGCAGACTGTGACCCTGAAATGATTCTATTCCCTCCTAATCCACATACAGTATGTCTTACACACTTACAAACAAATGAGAAAGAACAATACAGTATCCACATCTGAACCAAAGTGTAAAACAGTGAAATGTGGATTATTAAATATTAGGTCTCT